TTTTAATTTTTTTACTATTAATATCAAAAATTTTAATTTGACCTCCTTTAAATTTATTTTTGCACCCCTAAGTTTTTTTGTTTTTAAACATCACTCACAAGGCCAATTTGTCCACAATTATCAATTAACAATTCAACACTTTTTTTTATTTTTCTATTAATTAACAATTCAACACTTCTTTTATTTTACTATTAATTTTGTATATTAATTATTATCATTCTACTATTTTAATTGGCTCATATAAAAGACTTCAACTCTCTTTTATTGTCCAGGCTAGGGCTGATATTTTTTGACTGAAAATCGAACTGAACCGATGAGAAAATAAACCGAACTGATGAGAAAATAAATCAAACTGAACCGACTTATGTGTTATCGGTTCTGAACCCATTAGGGTTCGATTTTGAAACCATTATGTTATTTTTTTGTCCCCTCTCAACTAATTTTCTAGTTTGGCCCCTGGTTGTAAGTTCCACTCAAATATGATTCTATAATGAGAAATGAGTTTGTGATGTATGAATAATAGCAATGCATTGATTTAACATAAATTTATTCAATGTAAGAGAACAAAAACGAGAAGCAAACAAAAGGATTTTAGGTAACCGGCCACCGGGAATCAATTTTTCCTACCTGGAAATCGTAGTATATAAAAGAGATCCCCAAAAGACGTAACAAGATTCTGCAGCATATCAACAAACATCAAACTTTTGATTGGGCTCGGTCATATGTTCACAACCCAATAAACACTAGTAGTAGCATCAGCCTGTTTATGAAAAGCCTAACCCATTTATATCCTACAAATGTGAGCTACTTTAGAATCATTTAAACAACTTGGGCTTTTACAGTAGAATTTGGCCCAATTAAGATTAAGCATATAAAATATGTATTTGGCTGCTATATTTTGAATACATATATAGGCCATAATCAGATGATCATGAAGATGCATACTCAACGCAAAAAGGGGGTGGGGTCATCATAAGTAATTGTTATTGAGGTGCCTCAGATTTCGGAAAGTAAAATGATGGAGTATTAATTTAGGCAAAAGACTATCTCATCAAATGCGCAAAAGATAAAAAAAGCTATTTCCACCTCAGCATTTCTTTTTTTCCAGCAGTGTCGAGGCTCTGGCGCCCACGTGCGCACAAGGTGACCACCTAAAAGTCACGTGTCGGTTTCTATCCTCTTCAGTCGAACCCATGTTTCGCGTGTTGGCCGGATCCTCCGGTCAACTAAACGTGCATTGCACAACACTCAAGAAACAGAGGATTTTCAGAGAGGGTGTCTATATGTACACCCCCTTGTGTGTAAAAAAGGGGTGTACATATAGCATTGCCTTTTGTGTAATTTATTAAAAAGGGGTGTACATATAGCATTGCCCTTTTCAGAATAATACTATAAAATCTCATAGTACAAAATACAACTAATAAAGGGTATTATGAACAGAAATTCTATGCTGTCACATGTGGCACCATATTATGGTGCCACAACATGATATGGCACATTATGATTGGTGCCACAACTATCACACATCATGTTGTAGCACCAATCATCATGTTGTGGCACCATAACATGTGCCACATGTGGCACCATAGAATTTCTGGTATTATGAACGTTCCCTTATCTTCCAATTAAAAATTGGATCTTGGGCTCAAATATGCAAAATGTGAAACCCATTAGACAATAGCATGACTGATCCATAGGCCACTAGCCCACCATGAAAAAGCCACGGTATCAATCTAATTCAGTATCCAAAATCCAAAAAGATAAGGAAAGCCCAATCCGTTATGTTTTGTTTCTCTGTTCTAAAGATCTCTCATTTTTTAGCAGTCCCTCCTTCACTCCAGGGTCACCATTATTCCAATATTCGGAAAGAGAGAACAAGACGAGGAAATTCACGTTCTTTATTCATTTTAGTGACATGTTTTCATAGAATTATTTGAGGAAATGTATAAGGCCTGCAGATTAGCGGCAACAGTTAGCTCTGGAGGTAACCCTTTTCATACAAGGGCATGTTTTTTTCATTGCACCCCTGTTTTGGAGCGCAGAAGGCGTACCCACTGGGATTCTGTAAGCACCATTTGATTTTTAATTAGGTTTAATGGTTGGAATTTCGTTCCTTTTTTCATAGGTCAATATACCAGCTTTTATGTCGTAAAAAGTTAAAAAACGTGAAATTTAGCTTGCAAGAATGCCCCTTTTGCTCTTTGTTAGTGTTGAGCTGAGAATATTTGTGCTTTTTGTTGAATCACTTGAATTTTCTTGATTGTTTGAGTGGGAAAGAAAATGGGTTAGGTGATCTTAGCATTTATATTGCTCTATCATGTACTTTTTTTTTGTGTGTGTTTTGGGCCCTATTGACTTATTGCCAATTGATGCAAGCTCAGTATAGTGATGGTTTTTTTCTTGCTTATGACTATGTTTCATGATTGGATGGAAGAGTTAGAGCTTACTTCACGATGATGATATGCAAAGATTTGAGCTTTTTGTGGAAATAAAATGAGAGTTGCCTATATCAGTGAGACTTTATAGAAATTGGGAGAGGATTAAAAATTTTGATGTGGGTGTGTGAGTGAGTGGGAGGTTTCAATGGAAATAATATGCAAATAATTATAAACTGCTAATGTGCTTGGCTTTGCAGTGTAATACTATTTACTTTTATTTTTCCTTTCTGTGCAGGCAAGCTCTTTTAAGAGTTCCCCAAGGGTGAGCTCTCTATATCTCTATGCTCTCTCTCTCTCTCTCTCTCTCTCTCTCACACACACACACACATATAGATATGTGTGCATGTGTATGTGGTTTGTGCTTTTCTTTTTCCTTTTCTTTTTTCATTTGACTATTATCTGTTGGTGCTCCAATAATGGAAAAGAAATTAATGAATGCTTCAGGATGGGTAAAGTTCAGTTAAGGTATCAGACACACTAGTTTAGCGCCATGTTTGTATGTTGAAATCTCTGGGATCTCATAGAGCATAACTTGTGAACCGAAGGAAAGATTAGTAGCTCAACATACATAAGAAAATGGAAACTGAATAGCATTGAGGTTGATAAAGTACTAACAATTTAGTTCTTGAAGCATGGCTCGTGTATTATGCTTTTGCAAAACCTTAGCTGTCAGTTATCATCTTGTGCATTCCCAAAGGTATTTTTGGTACCTCAACTAGAACTGTAATACTTGCAAGTACATGTGATGAATCAAATCATCTGTTTTTGTGAAACTTTTATTTGCAGAAATTTAACGAGTATCGCAAGAGGCTCAAGAAACAGAGTTTGTTGCGCAATGTTGGTGAATTTGCAGAGCGCCTATTTGAGGTTGTATAGAGCAATAATGTCGTTCTGGTTTCGTTTCCCTTTTTCTTTACTACATCCTGCGGTCAACGATTTTTATATTTCGGGTAATCTGTAAGTTCAACAGTTTTACACATTTTCTGGGGATTCGAGGACGATCACGAGAATTTGATCAATTGAATCAGTAGAGAGACTGTCAGATAAATAAGAAAGTCTCTCTCCTCTCTCTATATATATACCTGCACCAGACAATTGGTTTTGTAACTTAGTGCAAGTTTTGCTTTAGTCATAAACTTATTTTCCGGATGAGTTTCGTTTTACTTAATTATGTATTAGTTCTCTATGTGATTTGTCTTTTCTTGAAAAAGATTTCTAAGTGGTTTCGTGTTCATTTAAATATTCTCGAGGTTATAATTCTTAAAGAAAAGGATAAAAAAATTATTACAACTAAGAAAATATTTCTCAAGATTATTGCTTTAGAGCTACCTGACAATGTTGATCTCTCTCTCTCTCTCTCTCTCTCTCTCTCTCTCTCTCTCAAAATAAAATTTTCTGAGGCAGAGCTCGCGGTTAGATACAGAAGAGTTTGATCCATTTTCTGATCGAGGGAGTTCATGGTTCAGACCAAGTTTCAAGGAAAATGGATCTAAAAAGAGCAAGTCTAGATATAGGACATCACAGGCATTCACAAGTACGTTTTTCGCTCCCTGTCCTAATGCGGACTTCTTCAGTCTTTGAAACTTCTCATGTCACCCTTACAGTCCATAATCCAGAGTGCATTTTTTTTCGCCTCCAAATGGGATGGGCACTTTCTTGGTTAAAAGCCTCAGCCAATACGAACCACAAAAACTTCATTACAAACAATTACAAACTTTATTTTTGTTTTCACAACTGCAAAAACCTCCCATGATGTTTGTAGTTGTTAAAAAAAAAGAAAGAAAAACTCAAAGAGGGATCTGTAATTTGTATTTTTTTTTTCTTTCAACTCTTTCCAGGAGATTTCGAGTTCTGTGAAGATGGGGATGAAGTAGAATTTGAGACCATTTTCCGCTCGGCATTTGGTGGGACCCGGGGCTTCTTTTGGTCTTTCACGATTGATGATGGACCACATTATAGAAACACATCAAGTTACTCTAGCAACTATAGGACTTCTAGAGGTCGGAAATATCAGTATGGAGAAGACTATGATTCATCATCTGATTATGAGAGTCATATGGTAGATATGAGGTCTGATAGGGTTGCTCTGGGGCTAGCTGCATCCGGCCCTTTGAATGTAGAAGACGTAAAAAATGCGTGAGTACTCTTCAGTTTGTTCATTTATATTGTTGTAGCTTTCTTTTTCTTTGTTTTCATTTTGTGGATTTTTTCTATGATCCTAAAAAATGTTATTCTTCCAGATATCGAGCATGTGCGTTAAAATGGCATCCAGATCGACATCAGGGCTCTTCCAAGGTAACTCTTTGATTTTCTTTTGTTTTTCTGAAATTAGTAACTCCTGTATGTTATATCAGAAAAACTTCAGAAAAATCTAACCTTTTAAGTGTCGCTATTCTTGTGTTGTTTTATATTCACGAGCTGCACTGGGAATGTTTGCAATCACTTGAAAAGGTGATTTTTTATGTTTTGAAATGTCAACCTGTGCTTACCCTGAATTTAATTCAAACTTGCTTTAGATCTCAGTCCTAGATAAATCAAATTACTAGTACATCATTCCTTATCACTCAGGCACTAAAAAACTTCTTTCCAAACTTCTTTCCGTTCCCCCTTTTCGTAACATATTCAACTTTTATCTTCAATTTACAAATTACAAACATAGCCTACTTCTGATTCTAACCAAAACGATTTCTCCTTTAAAAGCACAAGCCTTCAATTTTCGTCAACTCTTCTCTAAATTGAGCTCCAGAAAATTAATGTGTTCGAAAGTAAACGTGATGCTGTCTACAGGTTGTCGCCGAGGAGAAATTCAAGGCATGCAGTGCGGCTTATCAGTCTTTGTGTGATAAACTTGGTGTCGATTAGGTATCAAGTATATTTTGTCCTGACGTGATGGTTTTGTAGGAGAAAAAGCTGATTAAATCAGTCTATCTACTCATTTTCTGTACAAATCTGTAGGAAGAGATGAGCTGAATTTATGCTGCAAGTTGAAGAATTGCAGCTTTTAATTGAAGTTACTCGTGTATTTGAGGATTTGTAGCGACTTTTTGCGCTGACTTTGCCCTCTATTTGAGCAACTCCGATATTGATATAGAGGACCTTAGGGCGAGACTGGTAACAGATCAAAACCAATTTTGTGTTACTTTTGAATAAAGTCAATTGATTGAGTGGAATTTGAGTTTGTAATTAAATAGTATTTAAAATGTAATAAAGTTGACGCAAGAGAAATACTATTGAAAATGATATGTAGTTAAACATATGTGGGTAGATGAATAGTAATTAGATTGATATGATTTGTGAGAATAGTTCAGTGATGTCTTTTAATTATATTGATAATATTGAAGATATTAGAGTTGAGTTGAATTTGAGTGAAATTTTGAGTGAAAGTGAGTACAAAAATTAGTGATCGGTCAAAATCGGTTTTGATATGTTACCCATCGCTACTTTAGATTTCATGTGATTCACTTAGATTGACCTCTATAATAGTTATGCATTTTCAATCTGTAAATCATTGACATTTGATAATCCTTTTTGTAGTCATTTCTAAAAATATAGTACGATGAATCGTATAATATGTAATAAATAACTAAAGTAGAACAAAATTTTAAAATGTAATCGTATAATATGTAATAAATAATTAAAGTAGAAGAAAATTTTAGAATGTAAAAGGGCAAATTGTCACTAAAACACCTAGGGTCCTGATTGGTTATGTGATATTTAGTCATTTTTTATTATACATCACATTTTTAATTTACTATTCATCAGCTCAAATGATTTCAACTACTCATCACTTCTAACCATATCTTTTCTATCTCTACATCAAATCAATTTTATTCATTTTATTTTAAATAAACTTTAAATCTCACTTAAACCTAACACAATCAACTATTTCAAAGTTAATTTTGATTATCTAACAAATTCTATTAAAATCAAAATAACTTATATCAAATCACCCTAACTCTTATTTTTCCTGAAAAAAATAAAATAAAATAAAATAATAGAAGAAGAATCATGAACCCCACATGACAATCAAACCAATAATTTTATTTTAACATTGGAAATGAACAAACAAGAAGATAACCATTACCAACCAATCTTAAAATACAAACAGTTTTCCCTATCTAAAAATTAAGAGAAAATTGGACTATAATTTTAAAAATTAATTTTCATAAAATTCACATAATATTTTTTCTTCAAATATTCATTGAAATTGTGCTCGACAAGCTTCTACCAAAAAAAAAAAAAGATTCATTATACTCATTTTGCACCGTATTTGATGTGTTTTCACTAATTTGATAAAGAACGATGATATCATATGCGTTTTCCTTTCTTATGACATAGTTATAGAAAAATAAAATGTTTAACATCATAAATTATATCCAACTATGATATACGACAATCACATTAGAGGATAAAAGATTTAAAACACACATGCACACAAAATTACTACTTCATACACAATCAACAAAACAATAATTGCAACCAACTGATCCTAGCAATTACTATTGAAACACTAAATAGCTCAACTAAAATGAGAAAATAGATAAAGACAATTAGACAAATGAAATAAATTAGGGATTTGGAAAACAAAAAAACTTAGTTATAGCTTCACAATTTTCACACATGTTTCCAAAATTATAGCATTGTGTTATTTGTCTTCTTTTTTTTTTTTTTTTT